TTTTTTCACAAAATTTTTATTTTATATTGTGTTGTATTTATGTTATATCATAAGATCATTTAACTGAAAATACCACATATATTACATACTTATTTCTCTGAATTTCTTGCATGAACTACTTTATAAATGTAATTTTTGATATCTTTAAAATTTGTACCTTCAGGTGCTGAGCTCCCGGTGGCCATAGCTGAGCACGTGCCGATGGTGTATTGGAATAGGCCCACGAATAGCTATAAAGGCGTCGAGATTGGCATCGTGAAGGCCCTTGCCAAGGCGCTCAACTTTGAGCCGGTGTACTACGCCGTAAACGAGACTGAGGCGGGGGAATGGGAGCAGTCAGCGCACTCGAACGAGACCCACTTGGAGAAGGGTCTAATTGGAGAGCTGGTAATATGCAAGGCACACATCAGTGAGCAAATAATCCAATGAACGGCTCTGAGCAGGTGCGTCACCAGGCGCGCATTGGCATTGGGGATCTGCACACGTTCCAGAGCTACGTGCAGCATGTGGAGCTGAGCGCGCCACACAGCGTGGAGTGCCTGACATTCCTCACACCCGAGTCGTCGGCAGACGAGTCCTGGCAGACCTTCATACTGCCCTTCAGCGGCGGCATGTGGGCAGGTGTGCTGCTCTCCCTAGTCGTCGTCGGCAGCGTCTTCTACCTGATCAGCTACTTCAATGCGCTGCTCACCTCCAGCAGCCAGGTGTCATTCTTTCGCTGCCTGCGCCGCAAGCGAGTCGCCAAGCGGGATCCCCTCTCCTGGCGGCGCTTGAGCTTTCGCATCACTCTGGGTCGCCCTCGGCTGACGAATGCTCCACATCGCGACATCTTCGACGACTACTCCAACTGCATCCTGCTCACCTACAGCATGCTGCTCTACGTGGCTCTGCCCCGCATGCCCCGCAACTGGCCTCTGCGCGTGCTCACGGGCTGGTACTGGATCTACTGCATCCTCCTGGTGGCCACCTACAGGGCGAGCTTCACAGCCATCTTGGCTAACCCAGCAGCCAGGTGAGCGTCGCACCTGTCCCTATTCSTGGCCATTCATTCATTTATAAACTCCTCCTGCCTCAGCATCACCATAGACACGCTCAAGGACCTCAGTCGCGCTCGCATCCCACCCACAACCGGAGCTGTGGAGAATAAGCAGTTTTTCGTCGAGTCCAGCGACGATGCGGCTCGCGAGGTGGGCGCACGCATGGAAATAGTAAATAATACGGATGACTTGGTGGGTTCAATAGGGATTTCCATTACCCAGATCTATATATAGACTCCCGACTCTCCTCCCACGTCAGACCAAACGCATCGCACGTGGTCAGTGCGCCTACTACGACAACGAGTACTACTTGAGGTATCTGCGCACGTCGGGTGCTGCTAAGGGCGTGGCAACGGGCGCTTTGCACATCATGAGGGAGTGCGTTGTCCACATGCCCGTGGTCCTCGCTCTCGAGAAGAACTCGGCGCTGAAGCCGCATGTGAACAACATAATACAGCATTTGGGTGAGGGAGGTGGGTGCCACGCAAATCTTGATCAGTTTTCAAGCATTCCACTTTCTTCATCTTTCTAATAGCTATCTTTATCTCTTCCGTCAATTTGAATTGCATCTGTACTCCTTCCTTCTGTCCCTCACTGAGTCACTATTTATTTGTCTCTCTGTTTTACTCTTCATCTGAGGTACTCTCTCTCCCTCTCATTCGCTTTTTTTCCCCTCTACATTTCTATCTCTCGCTCTCTTCCTTTTTTTTTCTATTTCTCATTCTATTTCCTTCACAAATCTCCATCACACGCAATTTTTCTCTCTAGCTATATTTTTACATATTCGATATCTTTCTCTCTGTACCTCTCACACACTCACTTCTCTCTCTCTCTCTCTCTCTCTATCTATCTATCTATCTTTACCTTTCACTATCTCACAATAATATCTCATTCATTCTCTTCCTTTCAGTATCTCTCCCACGTTCTCCCTCTCGCTTTTTTTTTCTCTCTCTCTCTATATACCTCTCTCTCTCTCTCGAATACTCTGTGTATCTCTCACTCTCTCCAGGTCTCATCTCTAAGTGGCTGCGAGACGCCATCATTCGTCTGCCCGCCGAGGAGCGAGCACCTCAGGAGGCGCTAATGAATCTGCATAAGTTCTGGAGCTCCTTCGTGGCTCTGGGCATCGGATACCTGCTCTCCATTGCCGTGCTGCTCGTGGAGCAGTGGCACTTCAGGCACGTCGTGATGCAGCATCCCATATACAATGCTCACAATCCCAGTCTATACTATAACTTCAAGCGCCTCTATCCAGATGAATAGCTCAACGCAGTGCGGAAGATTGATGGCGACTTGTTTCGGAATTTCTACAGCATCCAAATATATACAAACGTATATAGATACTCATATTTATATATTTAGCAATTAGAAACATATTGTTCTGTGCACTCATAAAAAGAATTGACAAATGTTTTGTTTTGCTGTTGGCCGTTGGCCGTTGCCCGTTGGCCATTGAGAGCTGACGCAATCGATGGGATGGATGGATACCCTTGGATAGCATCGACATGCCATATAATACCATATATCAAATCGGTTTAAGTGGCCTCAAGTACCAAGTGCAGCAATGTGGTTCATAAATTCCGAGACGATTCAATTCGTTCCATCGCATTTCGTAAATAATAATTCGCATCGAAGCACATTAAGCATTATTTGTTTATTGGCCAACAGTAAGTCCATCCGAATGCTAAATACTCGTAAATAATTCCAYTCCATTCCATTCCATTCGATGCCCAAGTGCCAGACTAAACACTCAGAGCCAAGAAAGCGATATCATTAACATTTCAATAGAAGCGCTTAACTCTGCCCAAATCACGAGCCGCTCAGCACTCGAGAGCTACTAAGAAACCAAGAATTATTTGTATTCATTATTGCTATAATAGATATGACCAGGAAAAATACTCGAAGAAAGGCGGGGCTGTAACTCCCTGTGTTTAATATAATCTTAATATATATAATATTCATGTATATGCACAGATATATCTTATTTATATATACAAAAAATAGAATGAAATGATAAAGTTCAAATATTTTATTATATATCTATGATATATATCTGTAACCATAAATATATCAAATGAAATAAATAGTCAATTTCAGAAATAGTATTTAAACAAAAAATTGAAAAATTTCAAGAATTTTAGAAAATTTTTTCATATCTCTTGATACTTGTTCTTCAAGTGGTGTCTTAATTAGACGTCTATTCATCTGTCTCAAGTTTATTTATACTATTGTTGAGAATTTTAGTTTTTACATTTTTTTAAAATAATAACTACTTCATCTACAAAAAAAAAAAAAATAAAATAAAATAAAATAAAT